CCTCATCCCACTCTACAAGCACCGTGCGGGCTGAACCATCTGCGGCCCGGTCAAGAAACACATGGAGACATTGGATCAGAAGTTTTGAAATTCAAGAAATAGTGAATTATGGTTATCGGAATATGTACTAATGTCGATAGGTATCTACTTTCGAAGCGAGTCCCAGCCCAACTTCATGGTAATCAAGTATATGCAGCCATGAAAAAAAAGTGGTATCTCAATGTTCGTCCGTCGTCGTCCCAGCCAGAAAATCGAAAACAGGAATGCCAAAAGTTTAGTTGGCTTCGGAGCCCTGAGCGCCGCACTTCTTGCTGCAGTAGTAGTTCAGCTCATCGCCTCCAATGTGCCAGCCAGCAGAGTTGCACTGGAAGCCGTCCTAGAATCTCGATGTTAGACTACAATCGACTGAACACGGCAGGAGAGAACTTACAAAGGTGCAGTCGGGGCACTTATCCCATTGCTTGTTTCCGGTGTTGCGGTTCTTGTAGTAGTTGCAAGCGCACTTGGTCGCCTCGGGCAAGATCTCGTACTTCTTGCTCCAGGTGTAGCTCACACTCCAGCCAGTGCCGCCGACGGGCATTTCTTGTCTGTTTGTCACGCAGACACCGGCGTTGTGGAGTTTGGCGTTGGCACTAGGAAAGCATCGTCAGTATCTATGTTGGCTCGGGACAAAGCTAGGACAAGGCTTACCCGGCGGCCATGAGGCCAACGGAGAGGAGGATGGATGAGAGCTGCATCTTAAACGAGCAAGGTGTTTTTGGGACGTGCTTCTAGGAGCTTTGGCGATAGTATAGGGGGAATAGATATTGTGAAAACGTGGTAGAGATGAGATGTAGAAGGTTGATTTGTGGGTAGATTGGGACGAGATGACGGGAAGCTGAAATACTTGTACGGAGTATGATGGCCGGGTTGAAGGAGAAGCTCGCTATCTTCGCATCTTGCCTCATTCAGGAAGCTCCAATCTATTGGACACTGCACTATCGAATGTGCATTACTCGACGAGAGATGAGCTCGGCGGCCGAGGATACTGCGAATGGCCACTTCCTCTTGCGTGCGACTTTCGGTGTGAATTTCAGCGGGAACTTGATATCCAACTTTACCCGCAAAAGAGATTGATAACATGACCAGGCCATCAAGCTCTCTCCCGCGTGACGGGGCGCTGAATCGTGCAAATATGGAACTTCCTATCCTTGATAAGGCAAGTAGCGACGGTGATGATGGGGCTTTGTCTGGGGCGGCACCCATCTGTCGGTGTCTGGTTCCGACGAAACGGGGCCGATTTTTACCCATTCAGACGGTGAAACAAGGGCACATGCGCACGATTGCAGCATGTTACCCTGAGAGGTACTCGGCCGGAGAAAATCTACATTTTTTGGTACGAGGCGGGTTGGGTCTACGTACCCATGAATGAGGGTCTCCCACCATGACTCGCAAGGTCAACGTTGCCATCCGAAAGAAGGAAGATGCATGGGAGGAGAACCCCAACTTTCAGACGAACGCCGCTCGCGGCGCGGTGTAATTCAACGGTCAAATGTAGATTACGTCTCGTGGTGATTGCTATCAGCTATTGAGACACCGCGATGGTCTCGAAGACCGGTGTATAAAGTCGTCAGAATCTCCCGGGTCCTCTTGGCAACATTCAGTCACTCATCCTCATCAACTTCCCCCTCCCCTCCTCTTCCACCTCAACATCTCAACAATCATCAGCCGTCCAAAATGGTTTCCTCCAATCTCATCGCTCTCCTGATGGCCTCGGCCGTCAGCGCCGCTCCCTTCTTCTCGGTCCCGCTCCACGAGCGTGGCATCAATCTCACCAAGTGGACTCCTGACCACAGAGTAACCGACAATGAGATTGTTCTCCTGACCAACGGCGAGGGTAAGTCTTCCTTCACTTACGACAACTCTTAAACTCTGTGCCACGTGCTGACTCCGATCTTGCAGAAAAGATCATCAAGACCGAGGACTGGTACAAGCTCCTCGATGATGAAGGTATCCTCAGCGAGGCCCCGGAGATCGATCATGACTGGATCGAGTCTGCCGCCAACATGTCCGCGCTCGAGTACGACCCCTCCGTCCACGAGAAGCGCGACTGCGCCTACACCACCTCCACCATCATCGACAAGACTGAGCGCTTCGTCGACTGGGACGTGCAGATGTCCCCCGTTGTCATCGGGCCCCGCGGCGGCATGGATCTTACGGTCTCCAAGTCTTACTCCATCGCCAACTCGGTCTCGCTCTCTGCCGGCCTCACCCTTACCGGCACCAAGAGCATGATTGTCGACGCCATCAGCCGCGGCACTGGCGCCGCCGCCCCTAACGTTGGCATCAGCCTCACCCGCACCTGGACCACCATGTCCGGCAATCTCATCCGCGGCAACGTCGGCGAGGGCTACACTGGTGTCGTCATCACCACCCCCTGGACCACCCGCCGCTACGGCCGCTTCTTCCAGGGCTGCATCGGCTCCCTGCGCCAGACCGGTACTTGGATGGCTGACACCCACGACGAGGGCTCCTACGAGGGCGTCAGCTGGGTCTCCGGCGCCATCACCGTCTGCAGCAAGAAGCAGAGCTGGATCCCTCTTACCCGCTGCCATGGCCAGGGTGAGTTCCGCTAAGTGGCTTGCATCTCATGACGAAGGCGGACCGGCGAATCATCATCACCTGCGGTGATGCATGACAACAACAATTACTACATGACGGGGTTTGGCGCAGGGCTTCTTCGACATCCTCGCCCGGTGTGTCGCGGCGCGAATTGGATAATGAGGGATGAGAGGATTGTGGATACCCATTGGCATTTTCTTCACACACATATTCTTAACTGTACATAGCTCTTCTAGAGACGGACATATTACGACACTCGCCGCGCAACGGGCCTTAATAATTTGACGTACTACGAACACTTGACTTATCGTTCCAATTTGGTGAATTCCTGTATTTGAATGCTTGGTTGACAGTGAGTATTTCAATAGCGATAACCCGAATGATGGCGCGGTTCCCAAAGGAATGCTACGGAGGAACCGGATGGCGCCGGAAAACTGCCGGAAATAAAGTGGACCTCGACGCCGGCAGTGCATCCGGGATTCGGAGACAGAATGGTCGGCACGGATGCGGAAGGCGAAGCTCCAAGGAGGCCGACACATCTCGTTTCGGGCAATAACCATCCCCGATTGAGACTGCCATCTCAGAAGCGAAGTCGCGGAGCATCGCCCCCGGATCCGAGTCATGACGTCAGCGCTCATCATCATCCCTTCGTCACGTCAGCCCAGTGACGCGACGAATATGCGCCGGACGTGTCTTTGACAACCAACAGCCTCAACCCAGAGCTAGTGAAACCTCACAAAACCTCAAAAGTCCTCTCACACATCTCACATCCTCTCGTCCACACCAAAACCTCTTCTACCATCTCCATGCACTCAACAGCCCGTCACATTGCGAAGCGGATTGCAACCCACCCCGAGACCAAGTCCTTTGCAAAGTCTTTTCAAAGAAACATGGCGTCCGGCACTCCCTCCGAAACGGCAAAGGTCCAGGCTACCGCTGATGCCAGCGCGCCCACGTTTGAGTCCGTCGGCATTAAGAACAGCGATATTGTCCAAAAGTCCGGGGTATCACTGTCCCAGCAGCAGAAAGTCCTGGTCGGCAGCGTGCTAGATGTATGCATTACCCTTGCCCTACGTGAGTAATTTCGGAACCTACGGCTAATCATCCTCCAAAGCTCTTTGAGGGGAATCCTACCCTGAAGCACCTATCCTTGTGGTCCAAGACGGCTACGTTCCAGGACAACATCACAGTCGCAGAGGGGTACGACAAGTTCGCCGCCCAGTGGTACGGTCTTCCGGCGCTGTTTAACCCCATTAGGATCCAGTCGCACACCGTCACGTCGGCGGGTAACCCCATCGAGCTGGAGCTGAAGAACAGCTACACGGTCAAGGGAATCAAGACCGAGCAGACCATGGAGAGTGTCGTGCAGATCCAGGTCGGCGACGATGGCAAGATCGTCAAGGTCAACGACAAGTGGAACAATGATCTTCCCGAGGGAGCATTCTCCCAGGTACGCAACGCTTTCAATGTCTCTGTTTCCAATGCCGCCAAGACCCTGCTGGGGCTCCTTGGCCAGGCAAGCTTTGCCGTCTTTTGCCGCGTCTCGTTGTGGCGGCCCTTTTGGGTAGGCGGTATTGTACCGTGAGGTGACGTCCGCTGACTTCTGCAGGCTTTGCGCAAGCTTAATGCTGTTACTGTACCGGCGTTTGTCAAGGTTCCCAAGACGGAGGAAGAGGACCAGAAATTGAAGGCTGAGCGAGAGAAGCAATGAGAATGTATGTAGTTGTAAGAAAGCAAATGCACACGAAAATACGTGCTTGTACCCAAAGTAGCTTGGCCTGCATCACCCGGAGATTCGTAAAGTATACCTGAATCAAGCCATCTGAGTGCTTGAATTACCTGGAGATCTAATCGAATCTGTAATATGCTATAGTAACTAGCAGTGAACAGCACCTTGATTGCCCCATAATAAGCGGCCTAGTCGATAGCAGCAAATGGAGACAACACACTCGTCGCGCTAAGAATATGAATATGGCGGGAAGAAGACTACGTAGCTGTCTCCTGTGAGTCTGGCACCATTGATTCAATATGGGGCGGATCTCACGTCTTTGGATAGAGTGGCAACATTCGTGGGCATTTCTTTGTTATCTATAATGCTCCCCTCTGTGCTGTTTCGTGATAGCTCACGACGCAAGCCGTCGGTGTTGGGTAGTTATCGACCCAACTCTTTCTCTATCGCTAAGCATGAATTCGTGGTTTCACTTGCCAAGATCTTGGTATGGCATCCCAAAGCCAAAGTCCACGCGTGAAGTCTGATTTACTTGAGCGAATTACGGAGGCGCTCCTGTCATCCTTCATATCATGCCCACTTCAAATGATCAGAACCAATCCCGAGCTGAATGTCGGTTGCCAATTTCAAGTTGCGCGCCAAACTCAGGTTCCTCAATTCCGAACATACATCATCGCCTTCGCCACACATTCGCAGTCGGGGCTGCAAAGAGCATGGTCGTGCTGACAGCTGACGTAGCTCTTAGGTCCATGGTAGATGTGTTTTCCGTCAACTGGAACATGAACCGCGGCTGCTTCTGGCACAAGGTCAAGAGAAGGCGCCAGCTCAGGGTAAGCAATTCGGAAGTGAACACGAGCGAGGCAGGTTGAGCTTGATCGGATTGGAACAAGGTCAATGATGCATCGTATCCGACCGCCGAGCCTAGGTGCTGGGCGTCGGACAAGCGTACTATGTGAAAGGTTAGCGGTGCCCTAGGTTAAGGCTTTTAAGAAACATTATGTTCTACCCGTGACGAGGAAGGCGCTATACCTATTCAACTTTGCATGGATCAGACTTTGGGGAAGATGACTCTATGGCAAAGAGACTCATGGGCCAGTCTTCCGTCTCATTCATCCTGTGAGTGTTTGAACGGAGCCTGCAATGTGTCCATTATAGAACCCCCCCTCACAAAACGACGCATGGAATAGATGGCCATGCGGTGCACGTGAAAGCGGGGCCTCTAAAGGTGGCCATGGCTAGATGAGGCGCCACACATCAATACGACAACGTCTCCGACATTCTGTCGTTTCGTGTGACGGTCGCAAATAGGATGTATGCGAAAGCATATTAGTAACTTCCTCTCCACCATCTAGAATAGGTACTATAGTCTGTAATCATGGGTTAGCAACCTAGAAAAGCAGTGCGCTCCTAACGTAGAACCATACCTCTTTGTGTACTGATACCGAGCTGCTCAGCGACATTGACATATCCCTCACGAGTGATCTTGCCGCCTTTCTTGATGTTCTTTATCATATCATCATCGCCCTGCCATAGACTACGGCAGTATGGGCAAGTCACATCACTTGAGCCATAGCTGTCGCGACGTTTTGTCGCAGCCCAAGTCTCGAAGCATTCCCTGTGTATGTTTTGGCCGCAAGCTGCGCGACACCATACAATCGTCTCGTTGTTATCAGATTCGAGCTCGCAGAAGCAGATGGGGCAGTCTCCGTCGATGGGCTTGCGATTCTTGTTCTTGGAATCGTCGGCTTGGGGATCGATGGGCGGGGCCTTGTCGAAGATCTCATTAAGTTCGCTGGGGACCAACGCCAATTGGTATGTGTATTCGAATTTGGCGCGGAGGACTCGAGACATAACCTAGCCATGGTTAGAAATATCCAGCAGAGACCGAATAGGTCTGAGGAAGAACGCACATAAAGCCAGTGTTTGCATTGATTTCCCTTCATGGCGTGCGGGCAACTACACGACGGGGTCTGGCCGATCTTGACGGTGTATACATTGCCAGTAGAACCAGTCAACTCAACCTCCTCCTCGGGCGCATCCGGAGTTCCGCATCGCCGCCGCTCGAGAACGTAGAAGCGCTGCGTTGTTGCTCGATGATAAACTTCGTGGAAGCTTTGAGGTGGTTTCGATCGGTATCGGCGCAGTCGCTTCTCGCCGGTACTCGTGCTGACCGTCTTAAGATTCTTTACTTTGCGAGACGATGGGGGTGATGATAATGCATCATCAGAGGTATCAGCCTTTCGTTTGCGCGCCGGCGAGGGCGTCGCTGTTGCCGACTTCGGTGGGGAGCTTCCGGCAGTCTTAGAATGATTGGATACGGAGCGGGTCGCAGCCGTCGACGTCGAGGAGCGGGGTCCCGCCATTGAATTCGATCAGCGTGGCGAAAGCGTGCATACAATGGGCGTTGATGAGGGGCACTTCTCAGTGAACGGGGGTTGGGAGTCGCTCGCAGGCAAATTACTGGTTTTCAAGAAGCTAGGTCGAAGGTGAAGAAGACTGGGAGAAATCTGAAGTAACGTAAAGCTTCGCAAACGTTGATTGTTACCACCTTGATTGACAAGAACCTTACCGAGCGCAGTGGTAAGAGCTGCTCCTGGCCGCCCCTCACCCTAACTTCCGCCCCTGATGGACGACGGCGGGGGAGAACCTCGATGACGACAAGCACGGACCTTGGGTGTCACACGCCGAGTACGCGAGATCATGTGATTACTTTTCGCACAAAAGTCAGGTGACTGGAAGCTTCCGGGTCCGAAAGGAGCCTCGGTGCATCGCCTCTAGAGTCCGAATCCGACAAGCTGACGGTGCCATGTTATAGAGAATTGCTGGACACGCAATGCACTCAAAGTCGCCGCCTAGCCTCACATGATGCAGTCGAGTTCATATCAACTCCTGCAAGAAAAGGGAGTGGGAGCAACGCCACTCCAAACGCCCGATGCGCATAGACATGACAAGATAATCTATAGCACTCAGCAGTAGCTTGTAGTTGACCAGCAAAGATTCCATCGGCAGGTGGTCCCGAGTATGGGTAGAGAACTGCCGCTCAATCATGCAGAAATATCAATTTCTTTCCATGAGAATCAGACTTTATCCAACTATGGTCGAGTGAAATATCTGTTGGAACCAATCGTCGAAATCTTCAGAGGGATTGCCAGACATGGCAAAATGCTCTTCCGCAATGTCAAACTGCCCGAGACCAGCCGTGGAAGAATCAAGGATAAACCAATCGGTCTTGAACCTAGCCGCAATCTCCTCAAAGTTTATAGCATCAGGCCTAGCAGCGAGTGTCTGATCAGAAAACGACTCTATGCCTCCCACCTCAGAGAAGATGGCATCAATAAGCACCACACCGCGGTGTGCTAGGATATCACTCGTCGTCCGGCCCAGGAGATGCTCTCGCGCGTCGCGAATCGCGTCGAGGTAGCCTTCTTGTCGCCTGTCTCGTTCTTTGCTCTGATCGCATATGACCTCGAACGAGAGAATGATGGCAGCGGTGATGCTGAAGGCGATGTGCGTCCAGAGCGAGACTTCACCTGATTCTACAATGCTTTTGTGTTCGCGTAGGATGGTGACTGCTGCTGCAACGCAGGTACGGCGCGTGTGGATGTACGAGTCAGATTGGAACGAGAGGAAGAGGAATGGCCGGTGGATCATGACAATCTAGCAGGATTGATTAGCATCACCGTGATATGTATGAGGGTTCGCTAGGGTGTGGTCGAACCTTTTCAGCGGCGGTAATGGCTAGACTCTGACGCGCAACCCCAAGCCAGGCACACTGGCCCTCTAGTAGCTCATCCTTCTGTAGAAGAAAACACGGTATTGACTGGACCTTCTCTCTCATCTTTTGGTCCATCCTGAGGACATGGGCATACTGCTCTCTTGCAGGCTTCTGGGCTCTCAAGGGTCCCATCCCGTCCGCGAGCTCCGGCATCAGCTGCGCGATGCCACCCAGGACACGAGTATACGTACTTACCGTCAGAACGTCCTCCGGGGCGTCTATTAAGTCTGCATCGTTGGCGTTTCTGGGGAAAGAAGTGGAATAGTGAGACGGGTTGATGCCGTATGAGTCGGTAAAGGGAATTGCAAAGTGGTCTTGAATGACCATCTGGAGCCAAACCCTACGACCTACTTCTCTTTGCAGAGTATCATCCCATATTTCTTCTCTAGTCTGCAAGTCGAGGCTGCATTTGGTGATCTTGTGTATTCCCAGGCACTCGGCAATTCGAATTGCAGCGCTGAATAAGGTAGCGTTGAGTTGACTGAGACCAAGATTGTGAGCTACTTCGGTTGAGATGACGATGGCTTGGATGGAGTAGATTGAAACATCCTGCAGGAAATGAGCCTTATATAAAGTGTCGACCATGAAGTTGAATAAGTCTTGAGGCGAACAGGCCGGTAGTGTGAGCGGGTATGCATCGCGATGTTTCCAGCTGTTCTGCCAACTCAGGAGCGACGAGGAGAGCACCGCGCTATACAGCGCAAGCCACTGTGGCTGGTCGTATACGCCGGTCGCCCAGAACGTGGTGCACTGCTGCAGAAACGTCGGGCAGTGTAAGGAGTTGTGGTGCCATGCTATATGCTCCAGGTGAAATGAGATGAGTATCTCGGCCGTGACTCTCTCAGGGAGGAGAGCAAGAGATGGGACAGTGTGATCAGATAGGCCGAGAGATGGCGACAGACCTGTTGTCGAGGCCTCGATGGTGTGATCTCGTCTTTGATGGCAGTTGCAGTGTAGATGAGGGTAGCAGTTTCCATAGCTTCTACCCCATGCCATGTGCTCCAACGCAGTCACCGTGAGCGAACTGCGAGCTTTGGGATGTGAACCTGTGGCTTCGTCTTGTCCCGAGTCATCTTCAAGTCCGATCCCGGACTCAACCAAATTCGCTGTCTGTGTGATCTCAGTGCGTTGCCCCGAACCAGAACGGAGACCCTCCAGTCTAGCTGCTACCAAATCAGCTGCCCTCCTCGCCGAAGCGGGATCGGTGCTCTGAAGCATGCTGCGCAGAGTCTCGAGAAACCCAATCTCGGCACTATGTCGAACGGCATTGCGCCTCAGATGGACAACCTCGCGGTCGCAATGGAGCCCTAGACGACTGCATCTTGCGCATGGGATCTCTTTGTTGCACTTTCTCTTCTTCCTAGTACACTCTATGGGCGGTGGCACTGTGTCAGGACTGTACGGATAGGCCAAGCGTCTTTCTGGCTGGGGATAGAACACGAACCGCGACACGCGAGGGATTGGCGCTGCGACAAACGCGCTGACATGCTCTGCGTTCAAGATCAACCCTTCAAATACTAGCAACTGCGCATACGGTTGTGGTCCTTTTGCTGCGTGAGAGGTCAGATTGCATGCGCTGACAAGAGAGATAAGTTGAGGCGAATGGAGAACTCGCACAATCATGTTTGGAAATGACTTGTTAGGATTACATAAGCGGATTTGTTTCACTTACACAGTGTGTTGAAGATGTCCTAGCAACAGACCAGCACAATACCTGAGAAAAATCAGCGGAAATGATCCTGAGGGTTTTCTTCAATGTCACCGAAGGTTGGCAAAATAACTTTCTGTAGGAAATTAGTAAACCTTTTTTTTTGTTATGGCTTACCCGCTTTGTATTGCGGGTGCTGAGAATCTTCCGGTCACCATCGGTTTAACCGCGGTAAGTAGCATTGAGATTTCCCTTAATCAACATATATTATCACAAAAGTGTAGTGATACAGAAAGTGAGCTATCTTTTTCTGTGCATCATGACTGAGCAGCGTTGTGTCGATTTCAATGACTTCGCCACCAGTTGTGCTCTAGGCTTCATCGAGACTATAAAATTTCAAATGGTTAGCATCGGTCCTCCAACTAACATCCAAAGTTTCAACTCACATGTCTCTTGCTTTCAATCCAATTGCAGCTCCCTGCTGCGAAGCCGGTTCAATCATGATGTAATTTTTGATGATGGCCGTTCCGTTCCGCAGAGCTTCAACCTGCTGGTCGCTGCAGGTGCTCGGATCGAGAACGTAACAGAAATCTTCGTACTGAGGCGGAATCTCGTTCTTGACACCAAATGTATCGGAAGGCCCCTCTGTGGCATAAGTCAGGTTCGTCGCGGTATCAATAAGGCCTGTCGCGATGTCCTTGTTGAAGAGAGCGCGGTTGAAGATTTGATACGCGGATTCCGGTTGATACGACGGCACGGCGTGTCCGGCCTGGTAAACTCGGATGAATGACAAGTTGCCATATTGCCGAACCTGGCCGCCTTCGTAAGTAGCATTGGTCTGCAGAGGCTCGTAGCCCGCATTGGCAAAGTTCTCTTGGTCTGCCCAGGGAATCGCCAGCGCCACTTGCTCTCCGCCGATCCAGTTGCATGCAAAGTCGCGGTCGCCGAACATAAGGGAGACCTTGATGCCGCTGTGGAGGAGGTAAGCGATATCTTCTATCCAGCCTGGCCGAGGGTAGTCTCCGATACTGCGGAAGGCGGAGGACGACGCGCTCGAGCTACCCGTCCAGTTTAAGGGAACCCCGAGGGCAGATTGGACGTAGGGCTGATTTAAATATCCGGCTGTGAAGGGGGGCGGGAACAGCGTTGGGTCGACCTGCGTCACGTCGTAGTAATCACGGCCCGAGACATCAAGATAGGGATCGCGAACATTCTCCGTGCAGTATGTTTCCGCGTCTTGGCAGACACTGTTCACGGTCGCGTTGATGCCGATGTTATCTGGGTCGTAGACTGCAGAGATTTCACGGCAGGCATCAATCCTGTCACGGCAGCCTCCTTCCGCGTAGTAAGCATCAACCATGCTCTGATATACCGTCTCGTTGACCGTTTGTATGCCATACGTGTTGTTGAACGCCATCTCCGGGTATGAGGGCCACTGTACTTGGCGGTCAATGCACCCGTTGACGATCAGGAGAGTGTCCAGGTTCAAGATGTATTTCTCGCCTTCGGTCCCATCCCGAGTGCCGTTCGCGATCTTTTCATTCTGCTCCTGAAAGTAAGCGGCAAAGGCGGGCCCGTACCGGCCCCCATAGGACTGAGTTGCAATACTGATGCGATCGTCGTTGGGGTGATACCCCGGGAACTCTTGGAACCAGACTTGAGAGAAGTGCCATAGAGCAATAGCTGCATTGCGACTTCCAAAGCTCGTCGTATTTCTTCCACCGCTGGCCAATGTGCCGGTCTGGAAAGTGGCATTCTGGGCTGGGATTGGAGATGAGGCGTTCAGAGTCTGGGTGCTTCCAAGTAGGTTCCTAGTCACGTTCCGCAGCGAGTCATATGAGAAGCCCACTTGAACTGGCTGATCGATGTACAGCATGTTGACTAAGAAGAAGTGTGTGAGCAATGAACCAGATTTCAATTAACTGCGGAAAGGTGCCCTCACCTTTGTTATTCCAAGACCACTCACTGGGCCTCGTCGAGTTTGAGTCCGAGTTGATGTAGCATGGTCCATTCTCATTGAAGAGTCCAGGCATCGAAGAGCTGCCGGGACCACCGTTCATCCATATAGAGAGTGGTGCGTTCTCTGGATCCTCCTTGGCCTCGAAGAACCAGAAGAATGTGTTGATCTCAAAATCTTGCTCCTGGCCAACACCCTCGAGGGTCCCTGGCGGAAGCTTGATGTATCCAGCATAGGATTTCACACCTTCAGTCTCCTCGCACAGACCGGGCTAAAAACATGGGTCACGTCAGCTCTTTTCCCCGCTCATGTGCTTGCCCATCTTGCCTCTTTGTAACTAATCTGAATGCCGTCATCGAATTTCGACTTCAGCACCGTAACTCCTTGAGGTGCTGGTGGAAATTGAGCGAGTGAGCGCGGAGTGAGTGCCGCCGCAAAGGCGATGAACGACAGTTGGTTCCTCATTACCAAGATTTCGTGATGAGGATTAGATGAAGAATAAAAGTAGGCACCAAAGAAGGGATTCCTGTCCTTGGAGTCATCGTCTAATCACGTCAGTACGGAGTACAGCTCTAATATATATCATTAGATCTTCCCCGCTTGTCAGCACCTTCCTACTTGGGTACACTCTACGCCAGTGAATCATTATCTTTTTGATGCTTGTGCAAGTCGCACCGCCAAGACAGTCGTATTGAATCTTTTCGGCGGCCAGTTTGGTTCAGCTACAAAGTAGCAGGGGCTGGGATGCGGGGTTGATGGGAACACTGGCGAGGGCCAAGACTCAAATGGAGAACCAGTGCAGTCTTAGTTTGCACAACGCGAAGAGTTGGCCAATGAAAGCAATGATGCCATGGACGATTCCCGCTTTGAATGCACCGCTGTTGAGGGAAGGTTCCTATCATTAATTGCAGTTGAATGAGTAACCAGGGGTTTGATCTCCTCGGCAACTAATCACTTTTTGCAGAGGTAATACACCAAGAAATGTCTTGAAAGCTGACCGAAGCTACCGTTGCTTATCATGTTATCGTGAGGGTAGCTACACTGCACAGAGTTTAGGCCTAATATTCCTGGATCCATTCAATTTGCTATCATGGAGAGGGAAATGTATTCCGGCACGTTATTTAGGTGAAATAGACCGCTGCCACTATATTAAACCTTCTCACAGGGGATGGTTATCGCACGTACCGGAACGTTCGGATTGATCAGAGCTAGACCCGCACCCGAAGACCCAGGTGGTTTGTCCGAACTCGCCGGAGTGAAGTGACACCGGCGTGGGGCGCGTTCCCCGGAGTCGGAGAGGCGGAGAGGATAGCCGGTCGGAGCATCGGAAGGTGCTCTGGCAGAGCCTCATGGAACCTGGATTGTCCTAGAATATGCCGTGACACTTCGATTACCTATCCGTTTGACACTGTCCGTCTGATTCTGAACAAGATTCCAACTGCCGATGGCGACATTCCTGTGAAGATGACGCCGTCGAATCGCGTTTCAGGGTTCCCCGCAGAAAGACAACTGATGCGGCATGACGCCTTCTCAGCGCAAGATGGGCAAACTGAGTGAACTACTTGCTAGCCACTGAGATTCTGAGATTGACGCATTTACTCAATTTGCCCGTGGAAAGAGGAGGGCGTCTTACAAATGCAATGCTGATTTACCGAATCCAAGTGCAGTGATTGGTCTTTCTTGCCGAAGCAGTGTAACTTATTCCGAGAGTTCTCCTCGAATGAGACGCCCGCTTTAATTCGTCATCCAATGGTCTCCACCAGCAGAACGTTTGAGTCAAGGCGACGTCTGATGACCCAATCGAACTCAATAAGGGACGATATAAACGCCGGTGACCCGTCGTTCTTGTCGCTAAGAGCAACTTACCACTAGTGTCAGATCAAGTCCAAGAAATCATCACAATGGCCGCGGCTGCTGTTCAAGCTCCATTCTACGCAGGCCCTCCCGGCCAACCAGACATCGGATATGCCCCCATTTACGAGAGCTTTGTCGCCAGAACCAAGCGACGCCAAGAGCAGGAGAATCTGGACAAGTCTTTACCTACAGGCTTCCCTCAGAAGCTAGAGTCGAAGTTGGTATGGGATGGGAATACCTTGGCCGAGCACTACGACTGGAACTACGTCTTGACAGACGCTAATAAGGAGGAAATTGATGATGCTCTCGGGCACTTCAAGTGTACGTGAAATACCTCATCAGCGTGCCACATAAGACCTTGGTGTATTCTCTAATGTCAGGCATAGCCACGGGAAAGCTACTTGGAGACATCAGCCAGGAGACATTTCCCCTACCAAACCTTCACAAAACTCTGCGTGAGATCTCGGACGAGATTCACAACGGCCACGGCATCAAGGTCATCCGTGGCGTTCCAGTCACAGAGTATACCCGCGAAGAAAACATCATCATATACGCCGGAATCTCTTCCCACGTGGCTCCGATCCGCGGCAGACAAGACAACCAGTTCCAAGGCGAGCCGGCTGACGTTGTTCTGGCACACATTAAAGACCTTACTAAGATAGTCGACCCCCATAAGATTGGAGCGCCGGCCTACACAACTGATAAGCAAGTCTTCCACACCGACTCGGGCGATGTAATTGCGCTCTTTGCACTTGGCGAAGCCGCTGAAGGTGGTCAGAGCTACCTCTCGAGCAGTTGGCACGTGTACAACGAGCTGGCTAGGACAAGGCCCGATTTGGTCCGCACCTTGGCCGAGTCATGGAATGCCGATGAGTAAGCTATGCCCGGGAAGGAGAATTGATTTGCTGCTGACTCCCTTACGAAGGTTTGGAAAGGACGGCAGATCATATAGCACCAGGCCCTTGCTTCATCACCAGCCAGCAGCAGACGGTAAACCCGAGCGTTTGATCATTCAATATGCCAGACGCAGCTTCACGGGCTACTGGGGCTTACCACGGTCCTCTGACATACCCCCCATCACCGAAGCGCAAGCCGAGGCTCTGGACGCGTTACATTTCCTCGCCGAGAAATATGCCGCTCACTTGGACTTTCATCAAGGCGACATTCAGTATGCCAACAATCTGAGCATATTCCATGCCCGTGGAGGCTTCGTAGACTCCGATGAGAAGCAGTAAGTGGTGTACCAGGTCGAAATGGATGTTCGCAAGCTGACGTCAATAGGCGGCATTTGGTCAGGCTATGGCTGCGGGATCCTGAGCATGCATGGAAGACGCCAAATGCCTTGCGAGAGAGGTGGGATCGTGTTTACTCGGGCGTCACTCCGGAGAAGTCTGTGTTCCCCTTGGAGCCTCAGATTCGCAGTGCCAGTCGGGGAGAGTTCAAACCTGATGAGAAGGCAGCGCCCACTTCATGATGCAACGTTTGCGACCTTACAGTTCTTATCGTGGTGCCTTGAATCAAGAGTAGTGTATTCTGTTAACGGAACTTTGAACAACTTTACCAGAATTTTCGTTGTTTGCTTTGCAACCCGTTCTCAGAAGGTTCTTAGATAGGCAAGCCGTTGATCTGCGGATAGGTAGAAGGTAACAACTTTCGTATAGAAGATTTATAACAAAGTGACCTTCCGTAGAAGACGTCGTGAAGTGGGCGCGTCGTTGTGAAATGATGCATGCAAGAGGTAGTCGACAATACCCAAAGAATGATTGCTCGGATTTCATAGTCATCAAACCAGATGCGAGTGACTGACTCTTTAATCATGGCGGGCAGTATTTGCGGAACGGGTGAAGCCGCATGATCCGAAACCGTCTTTCGGCCGCAGTTGCCCCAAAAATGGACACGAACATATTCTGCAACCACTGCAAGTGACTAGAAAAGGCGATTCCCACCCAAGAAGGCAGCTCGTCTTGGACTAGGCAGGAAAAAAGCTTGGCCCTCGCATTTGCTCCGCCGTGAGCCTTTTCGCACGTTGCATCCCGGGAGCACCCCACAAGACGATCGGCCGGCTCGCCGGAACCTGCCACCGCTACCCGGACAGCACCCCGGCATCCGTCCCTTTGCGGGGGTGCGCCTTCACTCCGCCGACTTGCCGAACTATTAGATGCACTAGTCAGGACGACGACCGCAAGTACGTATGTCGCTGACGACCAGGGCTGGCTACGTAAGTCCGTGACCCCTATCCCCATGCATGTATCACAGCCGCTTTGGCATCGTCTTTATGTATTGCCAAGTTCGGCAAGGTGTATTATTCGGATCATCGTCATCTGTTGCTAACTTCAGCTAAACAAGGGTCAGTGATTTGGATCTACATCCACTTCACAGACTCGACAAGCTGGGCCCACGATGGGTACATGTCGGTTGAAGTGAATAGGTCGGAAGGCATCGGGCATGTTTACGAGTCGGCAAGATCGGCTGATCTTTTGACAGAGACTGACGCTATGAAAAGTTTGATGGATGCCCGGAAAGTGCAAGCGCGCCGGACTGCCGCGTCAACTGGATGATGCGCATCACAGCCTCAGGTAAGGTAGTAAAGTAGACAATGTAGTCAATCGCCGAGTGTTGTGGCCTGGGCAAAGCCAAGCATGCCTCAATGCGATACTATCGTGCACAATATACAGTCTGCCTTCTTTCGCATATGCGATCAAAGTGAATCCGAAGAGGTAGATGAGCAGAGCCAGTCGAGATGATCAGCAACTTACAGGGTGGCGAAGTCGAGCTTGACATACTTTGGAAAGACCTTGCTCGACGTGTGAGTATGCTGCAATGAAGTTCCCCAGCCGAGACTGAGTGCCATTGTGGATCACCAGAAACCCCAAAAGCGTGCTTTCTTTGGGCATTGATGGAAAGTTCGATGTAGCAGAACTGCAGCGCAATGTTCGTTTCATCAGGTTTTCGTTGTGTATGAACGCTTTTGCATTGCGGCTTTATAGTCCTCTGGAGTTTACGCATAATCTACATATCGATATCGTGATACAAGCAATCTCAAGTGAATAGATTGTATCAAGCTGTCAAGTTCTCCGTTGCGACACAGACAACAACGTGCCGCAGTCCGAGACCAGGAGTAGGTCAATAACTAGAGAATTATCAATCCCAGTCAACCCAGAAGACTTAGATAGATTCTTGCATTGCCATAGGTAATGTGATGTGGCTGATCAATTTGCACGTGACAAGGCTCGTTGAAATGTCTTTGAGCACAGCAAGACCCCTCTAGTTGGTTCGCCGAAGACTCGACTGCCTATGTCATTGACTGTATCAGTCGAGCTGAGTTTACGTGACCATGCATCTAATCAAGCCGCATGGCTGTGGCATCTAGGACGGGGTGTAACGTGTTGTATCAGAACTGACATTTGAACCAACTTTCTCTCCGTCATTCGATTCAATTATCAGGCTGATCATATTCGACGTAGCTTCCAGGTCTATGCACTCTTCCTAGTTAGCTGTTGAAAAATGCATTGCTCAACTGAGACTTAGCTGCAAGTGTTGGCACGACCCGAAATCGTCATGACCTTTTCAACTGTATTTGAATCACACCTTCTCAACTCACAAGCTTAATA